TATCAAACTGCTATAGGCAGAGACTATCTTTAATACCTGGAACGCTATGAACCCTGTTTTAAAAATGAAACAGTAAGCAATCAAACAGCAAAGACTAAATATGCTCACGCAAGTAATCTGCATGCACTGAATAACAATATATCAAAATTAGTAACAATTAATAAAAACAATAATCCTGTAATAATAGTCAATTCGTTTTATTCTTTCATATATCAAGAATATTAACATCCATGACAATCTCTTAATAATCAAAATATACTCAATAAACTTATTGAATGACATATTTGTCAGTACAATACATTTGAACTAAGGTAGTATACAAATAACTACAATGATTAGATATTTTGATTTATTTATGAAGCAAAGGACAAAATAGATATAGCTTGGTAATATTTGTTAAGAGCAGGAAAGAATATTTCTCAAGTTTTTAAATTAGCAATGTGAATTAATGATATAACAAAGCTTTATACCAACACAGATAATTAAGTATAAATAATAAATATGAATACTACTATAACAAATTACTACATCCACTATCAGCAACAGTTATTGAAAATACATGGAAGAAAGTTCTTAAGAATACCTCGAGCGCTATAAATACCACTCCAAATGCTAAATATGGGCTATTTACGTGTAGATATTGATGAAGGATACAACGATAAGAACATACAGTGTTAAATAGTAGGAGACCCTGAAAAATACAAATAAATAAGTGAATGATTAATAAGTAAATAAAAAATTAAAAAGGAAAACACAACAGAATGAAAACTAAAAAGTGAGAAAACATGAATGTTGCAACATTTTTAGTTTGTTTTTTTATATAGTGATGAGAATCATAATGGATTTCAGAGACAGTGATTTTATAAGAATACCAAGCAATAGCTAAGAAATTGGTATTTTACAATATTGAGTACGACCATTATTGCTATATGAAAACAACGTTTCAAAATAGAATGTACCGAACAGAGATATGTATGTGTATAGTTCCCTTAGCATTTGTAATAGCACGATATTAATAATTCTAGTTTTTTAAGCAAACAGATGGCGTACGAAAGATAAAAATATTCAAATAAATAAAGAGAAGAACAAAGTAGGCCAGAACTTTAAGAAAAGGAGAAAAAAATTGAAAAAATAAGCAAGGAAAATATTGACATAGGAATCACACGGCCATAACAGTTTTTAGATAAATCATATAATGTTTAACATATATAAATCAATAATGATGATCATTGCCAATATTCGTATGCATGTGTGGTTGAAGAAGTTTAAAAAAAAAAAAAAAACATTGATAGATCATGGCCATTTATTTATGAAGCAAAGGGAAAAATAGATATAGGTCGCTATTATTTGTTAAGAATAGGAAAGAATGTTTCAGAAGTTTTTAAATTAGCAATGTTCATCAATAATATAACAAAATTTTATGTCAACATATAAAAGAACATAAACAACAAATACGAACACTAATAGAACAAATCAGTACGTTGAGTATCAGCAACCATTATTATAAATGCACGGAAGAAAATTCTTAATAATATCTCA